AGGAGATGAAAGAAGGGACGATCAAGGCTGATGTTAACGAGAAGTGACGACAAACGCTTAGGATGCTGTCAAGCAATCCTGAAAATTTTTTACTCCTTAATACATCTCGTACTTACAGTTGACTCAGTTCACAGCTGAAGAACAAACTATGAGCGCGACTCATGCTCACAGCTCGGCTCAATGGTTCAATTGAGTTCCACTTCCCTGCGACTAGTTTTAAACATTCAGATGAAGCATTTTGGTATTTCTTGTGTAGATCGGAATTTGTACGAGTTGAATAGCTCATTCCGTAAGAACGAAATTGCTCAAAGCTGAGCGTATGAAGCGCTCGAAGACAATAGCCATTGAACTTCTACGGTTAATTATTAAGTGGTCGAGAGATAGATCACTTCATGAAGACAGTTATTGCAATGGAATTACTCAGTTATATATTGTTTTATAATAGAGATAATTCTTGAGTTTTGTACAACTGATGAATTGCAACCGGACAATAGGGTTGGAACTATTCAAGCATTGTTTGGTGAGAATGTGCATGTTATTCGTGGCGGTTAATATTTCTTTCAGCACGATAGGATTCAGCAATCATTAGGCTGCTCTCGAGATCTCATCTTTGTGGTGATCTGAAAATGGCATCTTCAAAACGATGGTTGCTCACGGTTCGTTTTTTTCTTGAAGCTTCACATTTTAGAACTCTGACTGCTGTGAAAACTTTCAAACTTTGAAAGCTCACATCACGTTTTCACNTTTTTTCCTCGTTCCAACTTTCCGAAATGGATCAAATTCGCTTTTGATTAGAAGTCACTTGATCATAATTTCAGCTAAAGAAATGCTCTCCCTGTCATACAGCATAGTTGATGCGATCGAATATATCGGCGGTTGGCGATCAGTGACGCAAAAACACGTTCTATTAGTACTCTTCTGAGGATGAAAGTTATTGGAACTGATTAATCTTTTAGTTTTTTGCAAGAATTCGCTACGAGTTTGCAATTACATGCGCGCATTGTGTTCTGTGTTCAGCAGTGCCAGTTTTATGTTTTTGATTAATGCATCAAGTGGGATGTTAAGTGCAGAAAAGGTGCAAGTCATCAGACTGACGGCATTCGAACGAATTTCTGGTTTCATATAGCCGCCATCACGCTGTGATTGGTACGCTGCTGCGATGTTGACGATGCATGAAATTGGAGGAAGGTCACCAAGGAAAATGTTTGTCAAAATCTTGGAAACGATCGAATATTCGTGAAATGTTGAGCTAGTTCAGTGCTCATGCCACCAGATATTGAACTTTCCCACTGTACTGATTGATCGCATGAACGACCTGAACTGTCAGCTGCTATTTTTGTATGAGACATATTGGTTTATGTATTCATCTGATCGTTAGCTATGTACTTTTCATCTATTACACAAATATGTTTAATATACAATGAATGCACACTATCTATCATTGCAACTCAATACTACATCAAATATTCTTGTACACTCGCAGAGCGCGCACAAACAAAATAATCTACAACTGCGTTCAATTGAGTTCGGTCCAATTCAGTTCAATAAAGTCTCTATCGAGTCAGTGGTCTGTTGATGTCATCGAAGCGGAAGGATATTTTAGGAAAAAGAGATAAAATAGATTGAATGAGGCCATCCTTCGTCTAGCGGTTACCCAGTTGATGCAGCGATTCATTCATTTTCGCAATCGTCGAATTCGAGTGATCGTGTTCTCCTGCAATTTGAGGATGTCATCATGTCGAAAAAAAAAGAAACAAAAAGTGGCATTTCTTCCTC